TCTGTTGTTCTGATACGGAAATCATGGTAAGAGGTGGGAGAGCAGCTCACTGGCATGTAGCAAATATAAGAACTGGGCCACGAGGAAAGGGATCTGGCAGGCCTGGCAGGCCTATCCGAGAGGAAACCCGAGTCTGAGAGGAAGGACATGGTATGGAGGGGACTCTTATCAGTGGAGGGCTGTGAGGTGGGGTGAGGACACCCTCCGGATTTAGACAAACCCAAGCGGAAGCTCCAGCCGGGCCACTCTGTAACACGGGTCCACGCGGGACTTAGTCTCGGGTCAGTCTCCTCCCTGCCAGCTGTGGGCAGCGACACTTCCTCTGCAGGCTGCTGAGGAGCAGAGCAGCGGAAAGTGCAGACCCCGGGGACTGAGGGCGCTGTCAGCGGAAAGTGCTCAGCGAGTAGCGAGATTAAGGTTTTCCAGAAGAGAACAGGATGCCCATAGGCTTCCATTGCAGTGGAAGAGACCTTGGTATGACTCAGTGACAACTAGGTAGCTAAACGAGGAGAGTGGGTTCTGCCTGCTTAATCACCACTGGGCACCAAGCGCCTCGCCCGGGCCCTGGCACACAGGAGTTCAATAAATGTTTTCTTTTTAATTTTTTATTCTCCTCACCTAGCTTCCCCTAATGTTAACATCGTATATCACCAATACAATTATCAAACCAGAAGGATTATATTTTTGAATGAATGTTGAATATTTTTAAATAATTAAAAATATGGTTATTATCCACCGCTCCAGAATGATATCTTTCAGGAAACCAGGAATAAAAAGTCCCTTTGAGTCAGACATGCTCCTAAGTATCAGCATTCCAAAATTATTTTTGAGAGGAAGAACTAATTCCTTTCATTAACGTAGTGGCTTTAATACAGACCCACAGAGGTGGGAACTATCTAATCTCCACGTGTAAAGCGTAGGAGCTTTGCTTTCTATCTGATCCTTGTTGATTCAGTGGGGTGTTGGGCTCAAGATTCATGGTGAAGAAATGAACGTCAGCTTATTGAGCAAACCGGGATTTACAACAACAAAATATATAGGTGCAAATTATGTAGAACATGCATTATTCTTCCTATTGTGAGGAAAGGATGTTTCTCATATCATAACTCATTGTTACAAGTTAACTCTTTGTTACAAGTGTCTTCCTATACTGCAGAGACACTTATCACACCTCCGCCAAATTTCACAAAGAGGCAGTAAGTCAGGGAGCTGCCTAATTGTGTCATTTTCCCAGCGACGGGTTGGCACCTCAACTGTTCCTAATCCATTGGCATTTCCTGCTTTCTCTTTCACTGAAAGGTTTGTGTTCTTCTGTTGAAGTAATAAATTGGAATCAGTGGGGCAGGATAGGGCATGACAACTGGTGGCAGCAAGTGGCATCTGAAATCATTGTCCTTGGTACACTATGGATATATTTAAATGAAACCTAAATAACTCATTATAGGAACATTGAAAACTTCTGGACTAGGTATTGAACCTCGCATCCCAGAACTCAGTCTCGTGGTCGGGACTCATGACTACCCTCTTCCCTTTTGCCCCCATCTTTTCGTTTTATGTCCGATCATACTATGAAGTTTCTGAACTATGAGCTGGTACTCAGTTGTTATATTTTTGTGAAGGTTTTGCTACCTCTCCAGAAAGTCTTACACAGTCCCACTGTATACGCCATCTTTCTAGACTGCTCTTTTCTTTAAAATGAGCACACTGTAGTAAAAAGAACAATGGCTTTAAGGCCAAAAGGATGTGAGTTTAAATCCTGGATCCAAAGCAAACACTAGCTGTGTGATCTTGTCCAAGTTACTGAACCTCTCTGAGTCTCAGTTTCCTTAACTCTCAAGCTCTTCACAGAGTCAATATGCAGGTAAAATGAAGTGAGGTATGCCCTGATCATACTGTTTGTATCGGGAGACTGACTGCCAAGAAAATTTGTATCCTTATGTCGTTTCTTGGTTTCCTCACTTAAAAATCCCCTAATAATAAAAAATACCTACAAATATGTAATTTAGAGTATAAATAGTACCTGTATACTTAACAGCTGGAAAAAAGTCAAATGGACTATATTATTCAAGGTAGCCTAACATCTATAGTGACAAATTCCCAAATTATAGCATCTCAACTCAATTACATTTCACAGGCCCGATGTGTGATAATTGGGGAGTAAATCACGGACCGACAGGCCTTCGGTCTTGTGGTTTCACCCTCATATTGGCCCTTAAAGTTCTCTCTTTCAAGCCAGCTGATAAAAATAAAATAATAAAACAAAAAAGGCAGAGGAAACAAAGAGTGATGATCACACATGGCAGCTTTTATGAGCCATTCCTATAAGTGGCACATATCACTTCGGTTCTCATTCAATTGGCCAAAACTCCATTGCAAAGCCTTACCTAGAAAACGTAGTGCTGCTGGGTGCCCAGGGAGATGAAAACAAAGATGTTGATGAACTTGGGCACACATTTCTGTCTCGGGAGCCATAAAACGTACTAGATTCATTTTTTTCAAGCGTGTTTGCCCTTAACTGTTAGCTTCCCATCGCTTGTGCGTATGCTCTGATCTGTTTTCAGGCCTTAGCATCTCACTTACATTCTTAGGAGCACATTTCCCTCTGAGCAGAACTTAACAATGGGGAACGAGGCAGGCCATAAGTCCCCTGGTGTCTAAAGTGGGAAGAGAAGTCAGCTGCTGAGAGAGGAGAGGAAAAGATAGGCAGGCTCAGAGTACAAAAGAAAATTATATATTTCCTACTGCCCTAAAAAGATCATCAAAAGTCTATACAATCATAAGAATCGAGTCTTAGAAATGCTATCTTCTGTGGTGATATTAGCTTGTAAGTCCTGGTGGTCCCTAGATCCTCTGAGCTTATTATGTTCCACATTGAGAAACACTGGTGCTTCCCAGAGCCTCAGAGACACATAAAGAAATTCATCGATCTGTACGTAGCCAATGCCTATCGTCAATGAGTGTGTTCAAAGCGCCTTCACTTTCATGGGCTGTTTCAAACTCCTAAGAGAGGTTGCGATAGCAACAAACATGAGCCAGACTTCCTAGCCCACTATTTTCTTTTCTTGCTTCTGGACCTTACCCACATTCTGTGTCCACGAAACATCCCTGCTCTTCTACCCACCTGCACTGTGCTTCATTCCACCATGTGCTTAACTGACGCAAGACCCCCACCTTGTGCACAGAGTGGCAGCATCCACATGACACATTTGTCTCATGGTGAGTGGGGACCTAAAGGACTTCCCCACACTCCCCTGCTACACTGTCAGTGTCTCACCTGTACGACTCCAGTGCCAGAACTTTCCGGTATTGGCCATGCACTGGGGTGAGGCACTGGAGACCTCTGAAAAAGCACGGCTATTATTAGCCAGCAATAACAGTCGAAACCACCATCTATTAAGTGGTCACTACGTCCTGCCCACTTTAATGTATCATGTGATTAATCCCACCACAGCCCTAGCAGTATTATTGCCTCTATTTTAAAAATGAAAACTGAGTTTTCGTGAGGTTAAGCAAACAGCCCAGGGCCACATAGCTAATAAAATACAGAGCCAGGATTCAAACCTAATTCTGTCTGACTCCTCCCACATGAAGCAATTAATATATAGCTAACATTTGTTGAGCGCTTACTCCATGCCAGTCACTGTTCTGAGCACTTTACCTGTGTTAACTCATTGTAACCCCGTAACAATCCTGCAGAGCTGAGGCTGTTATTGTTGCTGTTTTGTGGATGAAGATATTGGAGCACAGAATGAAGTGACTTGCCCGAAACCTACAAAGTAAGTTGGAGAATTGGGGCTGGAACCCAGGGCACTCTGACTGAAGACTAATGCAGCATTGTCTGAAATTTGTATACTTTTCATTATAAAAAATGTCAAAACTACTAAAAGTAAAAAGAGCATATACATCCATAGACTTAGCAATTAGCATTTGACCATATTTTCTTCAACATTTTTTTGAAATATTTTAAATTAAGTTACAGACCTCATAATATCTCACTCCCTAATACTTCAGCATGCATCTCTAAATAAGGATATTTTCTTATATAATCACAATACCATTATCACACCTGACAAAACTTATTAGCAATTGGCTTATAACATTCAAAATTCCCCAGTTGTTCCATAAATATCTTTCTCACAGCTGTTTTGTTCAAATAAGTATCCTTCGAAGGACCGTGGATGGCAATTTCTAATTATGTAACTCTACAACCCCTCCCCACTCTCTTTTCGTACCACTGTATTAACTGCTAAAAAGCCCAGGCCAGTTGTCTATAGAATGGTCTCCCTCCTTAACTCGTCTGGTTATTTCCTTGTGGCCCTAGTGGAGTTGTTCCTCTAGCTTTTGGATTCCCTCTGAAGCAGAGGTTACATCTAAATCTCAAATAGATTCACTGTTGCTAAGAATACTTCGTAGATGGTGTTGCTATTTCCTGTTCCACCACATCTGGATCTTCACATCTGGCGATTCCATCAACAGGGGGGTCAAGTGCACCCTTGGAGCCAAGGCAACGAGCCAGATACCTCGACTGCAAAGCCCTGGCCCTCCCCTCAATCAGCAAGCAGCCTGGGGAACTGTGTGCTGATGGTCCCCGTCAAACCTTTAGTCAGTGGTTTCCGCATCTGCTGGAAATGTTGGCTTACATTGTTGGCCCACAAGGGCGGCAAAATGGTGACTTTCCAACCATATTATTCCACCTACATTCACAGCCAACCTTCTTCTATAAGAAAAAGTTTTCCTTTCTCAGTCAGGACTATTTGGTTATGCTGAAATACAGTTTCTTCTGGTAGGACGTGTTAAATTTTTAATTACTTCTAATTACCTACCAATTCTCAGAGTAAGGAATTGATGAAATAATCACCTCCAGTGGTGGAAAGTGAGTTTTGTTTAGAGAGATTTTCTCTTTTTTGAGTTTAATTATAGACTATGCGGTTTTATACATTTACAGTCCCCTTTTAATGCTCAAATTCTCTCAAGAGAGGGTTTCCCCATCATATTCTCACCTGTAATGCTACTGAATCCAGATTAGGGCCTAAATTCAAATCCAGGTGTCCCATGTAGTCATTGGGTAGCTTTTGCCTCTCTGTGCCTCCATCTCTTTGTGAATAAAATTGGAATAAAAAACTGCATTAGCTTTTAAGGTAGTAAGTAAATGAGAAGGGTCAGCTACTGGGCTCAGCAAAGGGAGTGACACACAGAAAGAATGTGATGCATGTGAACTGTCCCTGTTTTTACACCAATGACGTCACCATCTAATACTAAGTCTGCACTAAGGAATGGCCTGGGTCTGGGCCTGGGGGTAAAGGGAAGAGAGGGGTCACGAATATCCTAGAGAGAAGGCTTTTGTCCAGGACAGTGGCACCTTGTAGGGGAGGGTTTTGTGGTGGGAAGGCAGACAGGAGAGTAAGTCCCTGAAAAAAATAATTTTTTCTGCTTCATTCAGTTTCCCCAGGGGTTACTGTATCCTGAGATGTCAGAAAGAATGCTGGGGAAACCAAAGCTGAGTGGGGTCTCAGACCTGTCAGAGGGGAGAAGTCATGGCCATTTCTAGGCACCAGGCCACTTGGCCACCTGTCCCCCAGCCCAGGCCCATGTTCAGTGTGTGGCTGACAGACAAGCTGCTTGGTTCGCATGAGCCCACATGGACTGACAAGTGTTTTTAAGTAAAAAATATAATTCGAAGTTGTATTAAAGTGAGAAAGACTATTTAAATCTGCTTTCTATGAATACTACTCTGAGAATTCACCAAACCAGAGTTAAGGGGGGGGGGGGGAA